GTTCAACTCTGGGCTACGCCTTAAAAATCAAACTTTGGGCTATGCGGGGCGGCGTCCATGGACGGGGCTCCAGGTCGAGGAGACAGAAACATGGCGCTGGGCAAATCAAACCACGTCAGGCAACAGCGCGCCACCCGGCTTTGCCCTCACTGTCGGCCATCCTGGCCTGCTGCCACTACAGTGCCACGGCACGTCACGTGCCTCCTGCTTCATGAGACACTTGCTGTTTTTTTTATTCTTCTTTTCTTTCAATAGTGATAACGTTTAAATGAGTGGAGACATTGAGGACGTACACATTCATACAGGCTCATGAGGACGTACACATTCATATTATGTAGACACTCGGGCCAAAGTGGTAATACAAAAGGAGCATGTTCATTCAAAAATTCATTTTGGCAAAAACAGACCTCATCGGGCCATCACCATAAAAAACAGTAACAACATATAAGAACCAAAGGGCCGAGTGAGGGCCAACTCGCAGTGTGCAACATTCTTTTCTTGAGGCATAATTATACGATTCACTGACACTCATATGCAGCACTTTGGGAAACTTACGAAATTTAATACAAGGGTGAAGTATAGTCAGCTTTTAAAAAAAACTTTTGATAATATGGCTGTCGGGATCAGAAAATGCCCTGATGAACCTGATATAAAAATTTCCGAAAAGTGTTTTTAGCAATTCATGAATAAAATGGTCACATTTTTTTGAGTTGGAAAATGGAAACATTTTTAGATGACCATATAGTCCACCTCTGCAATCTGCATATCACAAATGAACCTTTTGAGTTTTTTGAAGACTAGTGAATTTGGAATAGTTCTTTTTACAGTCATCGTGGGCTTCAGTGGTCCTTTTTCTGAAAGTGGGCCGGGCTTCGTTCACTCTCCTTTTATAGCCTGTTGGGATCGCAGCCTCACTCAGCCAGATCCATTCATTTCGAGTCCACCACGCGCGTCCCCAATCAGTGAGCGTCTGACACACATGACCAGCCACCGCCGCCGCCCCCTCCTCCGCTCTCGCTCGTCGGCGGCGCCGCCGCTGGACGACGACGACCTGCTCTCCGAGATCCTCCTCCGCCTCCCGCCGCTCCCGTCCTCCCTACCCCGCGCCTCCGCCGTCTGCAAGCGATGGCGCTGCCTCGCTTACAATCCAGCCTTCTCCCGCCGCTTCCGCCTCCACCACCGCCGCAACCCTCCACTCCTCGGCTACTTCCGCGCAGGTATTCCCAAGCTCTGCTTCCAACCCACCATGGCCGCCCCCAATCGCGTTCCGCCCGGGCGCCTCTCCTTGAAGTTTAACTCCTACGTCCGAGTACTCGGGCGCCGCCATGGCCTCGTATTAATCTTGGAATGGCCCCAACTCTTGGTGTGTGACCCCGTCACCGGCCACCAGCACCGCCTAGCCTATCCCCCGGAGTTCGATCCAGACAACTCTTTGATCAATGGGGCGGTGCTCCGCTCTGCTGCCGGTGCCGGAGACGTCCACTTCCAGGTCGTTTTGGTAGGGTCAGATTATGAAAAAAAGCTGCTCGCCTGTGTTTACTCGTCAGAGACTGGAGTGTGGGGCACTCTAATCTCAACACCAATTCCATCCGGGAACTCCCTTTGCACCAGGGTTTGTTGGGAGCACGCTGTGCTAGTTGGGGATTCCCTTTACTGGATACTCGCTGGTACTACTTTGTTCAATCTCCTTGAATTCGATTTGAAGACGGAGAGCCTAGCGGCGTTACCGCTGCCGGCGGATAAGCCTTATGATGCAGTACTCATGAATTGTCCTGAAGGGCGCTTCACTGTCATGCGGGCAGAGGGTGGTGGGCTGGGTTTACTATCTGTGTCAGGCTTCACCGCCCAAATATGGAAGAGGAAGACTGATTTTGATGGTGTTACATCATGGGGGATGGGAGCAACTGTTGAACTGGACAAGCGCCTCTCCATGGATTCAGAGGATTACTTAGACATAGAAGGGTACGCTGAGGACAATAATTTGGTGTTCCTGTGGACTGGTAGGAGCCTCTTCACGGTCAAGCTTGAGCCATTGCAGTGCAACAAACTTTTCGACACCAACAATAGGGCTTGCTATTATCCATTTGAAGCTGTCTATGCTACAGGTAATAACATGCCTTTACGCTGCCGGTATAAAAAATCAAGTTACTTTTTGATAATTGGTCTATGGAATGCCTTTCGCATCCTTTCATGTTAGGCTAGCAATTTTAATTAGTGTCGTATCAGTTATTCTTTTGCTGCTTGATGATCTATTCAATACATACCAATTTTATTCTATAGTGTTCTCTCCCAATGGTTGTATGGTAACAAAACCAAGTTACTTTTTGATAATTTGGTTGATGGAATGCCTTTCATATCCTGTCATGTGAAGCTAACAATTTTAAGTAGTATCATATCAGTTATTCTTTTGCTGCTTGATATGATCTCTTCAGCACATACCAATTTTGTTCTGTAGTGTTATGCCTCGATGGTTGTGTGTTGGTGTTTATGTGATTTTTGTAATCTACAAAAATATTAGTTTTGATATCCGGTTTAGCTCATGCCACCAGTTCTGTTTCTGTGGCCAAGTTGAAAAATTCTCTTTATAATAATTGAACTAAATTTCATAGTTGTCTGCCTGTTGGCATATGCAAGAACTGTATAATGGTAGTACTACTGCATATAGATGCAGTGCAGTTTTTCTCAATCAATGAGGCGATGTGATGGCATCATTCTGATGTATTGTCAATAAATATGATGCCAAGTTGTTTCTAATATTCTCATTTTTCATTAACAATACCATTGGACAGTGTGGTTCAAGTCGGAGCTAGGAAACTTTCTCATCAGTTTAGTGTGGCGGTGAATTTCTTTTTTAGAAGATGAGATACATAACAGTTGGAGACCATTACCTGAAAAACTAGCTTGTGAAGTTATTTCTTGAAGATGAGATATATAACAGTTGGAGACAACTACATGAAAAACTTGTGAAGTTATTTCTAGAAAATGAGATATATAACTAGTTTGAATCTCATCTAGAAAGAACTTCACAAACTTTTAGGATAGTCATGGTGGTGCTTTATGTAATAGTTATGAACTGGAAAAAGATGCAGGTAATAGTGTGCCTTTGCACTGCCGGTATAACAAAACCAAGTTATTTTTCTGTAAATGGTTGTGTGAATGCCTTTCACATCCTTTCATGTTAAGCCAATAACTTTAAGTAGTGTTGTATCAATTATTCTTTTGCTGCTTGTTGACTTCAATGTAGAGCAATGGTGCTCTGTAGTGTTTTCTTCCAATGTTTGTTTGGTATTTATGTACTCCCTACGTAAAGAAATATAAGAGCGTTTAGATCACTATGTTAGTTATCTAAACACTCTTATATTTCTTTACAGAGGGAATAATTGTTATGATCTGGAAAATAAATTTCTCGTGGTGTCTAGTTTAGTTTAGTTTATGTCACAAGCTCTGCTTCTGTATCCAAGGTAGGCAAATTCTTTGGATAATAATTGGACTAAATTTCATTGTTGCCTGTCTATTGACATATGCAAGAACGGTATAACTATAGTGCTGCATAACTGCACAGTTCTTTCTCAAGATAGAAATATAACAGCTGGAACCTAAAAGTTAAACAATGAAATTTAGCTGTAGGCTGTAGCCATGCGTTGTGTACAGTTTAATTTCTTCAACTGGGTCACGGTAGGAGAGTTTATACTGAACACCAACTTGCTGAACACATGGGCAAAGTTATAAGACTGGATTTATCATTAAAAGTGCCTTCATCACGAATTACTACTTTTATTTTCAGTAACATGATATGATTGAAGGAGTGCTCAGAGCTTTGTTTTTTATGCCATGCAGTGTAAAAAAGATGGCATCTATTTTGTACCCAAGGGAAGTTTTAATTAATAAAACCCCTTGCTTGAGGATTCTACATGATGAATTTGATTAAATTCAATTAGTTGGTGACTAGCGAGCTCGTACATTTCTGAAAGATATGCCTATGACCTAACCTGATGCTTCTGCTTTCGTACTCCACATGAACCCATCATATGTCCATGATAATGAAGAATATTTCAAATTTTCAATCGAATTCATAAGCTAAATAGTTTAGCATTTGCCTCTGAAGTAGGGATTTGAACAATTGATCTTTTAGCCTCTAGTGAGAGAAGATGGCGAAGATACTAGAGAATGTGCTAACATTAGAAGTTGAAAGTGTGCCACTACATCACAAATTACCTATTGATAATCTCTGTTTCCATTGTGGGTTTTTTCCAACAACACCGAGGTGATTCAACTTTGGTGTTTTTGCTACAATCTCCTTATGGCGGAGTTAATGTTTACTGTTTGAATCATTATAAGTTGTGAGGTTGCATAACTTCAAAGTCTTTCCATGGATGAATAGTACAAATGGTTTGACTGATGACACTGATTGCTCCACAGGTACCTAGATTTGTATTCTGGTTGCCGAGATGCAGGAAGTGGCTTCTTCGATGTAGGTTCTTCCCTTTTGTATGCTTCACGCGAAGATCAACCCTCTATGTTGTGTGCGTGCGTGCGTGCGTGTGTGTGCGCGCATGCCTGCCTCTTCTCTCTGTTTCCATTTGATTATGTTCCGTGTTGTATTAGGTCAGGAGATTTGATTTTAGCTAATGAATGTTGGAATACACTTGTCTTCCTGGTGCTATTTGTTACTGCATAGCAAGCGTTTCGACCAGCAATGGCAGCAGTGCTTTATCATGCATGCATGTTTCAAATGTTCTGTACTGATATATTGGCTGAACACCAGAGAGGAAAGATAGGGCATTTCAACACAAGTATTGCGAGTTTACTCCATGGAGACCACCGGCTAGGTCCTCCTCTTCCTTTCACAGTAGTTTGTCCTTCAATTTGCTCTTCAAATTATTTCTGATTATACAGTTACTGACATTATTCATGCTGATCAATTTATGTATGGGTTGGTCAATTGTATAGTATAAAAAAGAAGTGAGTCGTCAACATAATCAGTTCCCTCCTTGGCTGCATTCTAACACGTCAGGAGATTGCTTTGTCCGTCCAACTCAAGCTGGCAGCTTCTCATTCTTACCTGATTTCCATTGGCCACGCTGGGGAGATGTTGCTGACTCAAGCCATGAGCAAGGTATCTTGTTTGGCAGCGCTTCAGGCCATTCTTTCATGCTTGACCTGGTGTTAACTTGTTTGGACCACGCTTCAGCCAAAGAGTTAATAGTAAATATTGAAGTTGCTTCTTTGACCCAGGTCAATCCAGCATTAGTTACTGACCAGTAAAATGATGCGGTAGAAGATTTAAGATCGGTACAGTCATGTGATATTGTGATGTGAGGAGTTCAGTAAAGTACCTTGTTCTTCCCGGTTTAGTGGAGGCATCGCTACTTTGGCTGAATTGATTAAAATTTGTCTCTAATACATTTGTAACTCTGCCATCCATGGTTAATTTCAAGGAAGTTTCACCTTAGCCAGTTAAATTGTTTAAAATCACCTTTTATCTTTTCTTTTCTATGTAGTAAACAGTGGAGCGATGTGTTACAATGCTTGGTATATATTTGTGTATTGGGCTCAAGCAGTCGCAATTTTATACATTCTTGTTTTTATTTATTGGTTGTGACGAAATGGTAATCTCTGATGTGCTGTTTATTGTGTGCAATTAATTAAATAATATTCTCCTATAGGCAATCATGCATCGATCTTGCCCTCTTTTTTTGCTGTTCATAATTACTCAGCTAACTTCTCACATTTTTTAGGTAACTTGCTGCAGGAACCTACTATGTCTGCTGTGATCGGTATCAGATTCTGCGTAGTGCAATCGCAGCACCTGTTGCACTAGAGCTATTTGAGGTTAGTCATCTGCATGTCTCAGGAGTAAGAGAAAATGCTTAAAATTGGTGCCTCGAGAACAGTGTCAAGTAGGTAGTACTTGGCGCTCACTATAGATTGACAATTTGCCAGAGAAAAAAGAAAAAGGAAATCAGACAGGAAGAATCAGATCCTTCTTTACCGAAAGAAAGGAAACTGAAGTGTAAAGCCAGCACCACCCATTCATATGCTGCAGCAACAAACAAAGAATCTGCTTTTGCTCCTCTTCACTACTTTTCTTTGCACCGTTCATAATTGTGCAGCTAGTTTGTCATGCTTTTTAGGTAAATTGCTGCTGGAACCTACTATATCTGCTGTGATCGGTATTAGATTCTGGGTAGTGCAATCGCAGCACCTGTCGCTTTAGAGCTGTGTGAGGTTAGTTATCCGCATGTCTCAAGTGTAAGAGAAAATGCTTAAAATCGGTGCCTTAAAAACAGTTTCAAGTAAGCAGTACTTGTCACGCATTATAGATCACCGAAAAAGGATTTCACCCCGCTTTATAAATAAAGCAAACCACCACAGACACAAGGTATCGCAAATGTCCACCCCCCACACACAGTCACACCACAAATAGTACAAGAGGGTTCTGCTGAGGGCACAGTTCAACAAGCCCTGAAAACGAAAACAAAGGCGGGAACCCGCAACAGCAGCTAAGAAGCTAATCCGGCTCTGGTGGTGGAGGAGGAAGCGGCGGCGCCAAGCGGAGAGCCATCGAGCGGAGGTCGGCGATAATAATGTTGATGGCGTCCCGGTCCTGGAGGCGGCTAAGCGTCCGCCAGAGCTGCAAGTACCCACACATTTTGTAAACAGCGTCAGTGGCACATCGAAGAGGAACTCGCTGGATGACAAGCTTATCATGCATGCATTATAGATTGACAACATATCAGAGGAAGAAGGAAAAGGAAACCAAACAGGAAGAAGGAAAAGGAAACCAAACAGGAAGAATCAAATCCTGCTTTATCTTTACCAAAAGGACATGCTTTCTTATGCCGCAGCAACAAGCAAAGAAGCTGCCTTCGCCCCTCTTCACTACCTTTTCTTGTGAGGATGGAACTGGGATAGCGGGAACCAGAGGCCTAAGCAAAGAATCTTGTCCAGTTCTCTTCTTCTTCTTCAATGAAATGAGCTTCGGGTTAGTCGCAGCTTCTCCCAGCTCTTTATATCCCATCCTCGAGATCCTCCATTTGTCAGACACACGGGTTCCAAGGATGCGAACCAAACACGCTCTTGTCCCATTCGAGAGCACAGGCCCCGTGCGTCCTCCTCATCTCTCCAGAACTGCTGGTGGCGTCATCTTTCTGTGCCTCCTGTACTGGTGAGCTCTCCTTGTAAGCTGCGTTCCTCGTGCCTGCTATGCTGTTTCATTCAGCGAATTCAGTAGGCGCACCTGTAGGTACCCTGCTATCATGTTAGCCATCCAAATGTTTTGAATATTTATTTTTCGGATCACCACAACAAGCTGCGGATACAAAAAAAACTGTTGTCCAGGGTCATAAATAAGGGTACAATTGGTTTCTCGCTCTGCCATGTCTAAATCCAGGCTCTGCCCCTCTCTGATGGTGACTAATTAATTTATTCGCAAATGGTATTTCAGCCTGAGGATGGACACCGCCATCGGCGCAACGAAGTGGGTGCTGGGCAAGGCGCTGGCCCCCGTCACGGATGGCTTGCTGCAGTCCTGGGCAGCTAGTGTTGAGCTTGATCGCAACATCGACGCCCTCAAGATGGAGCTGTTGTATGCGCATGGGATGCTTGAGAATGTGCACGGCAGGGACATCCATGGCATTGCGCTGAAGGAGCTCCTGCTCAAGCTGCAGCAGCTGGCATACGGGGCTGATGATGTACTGGATGAGCTGGAGTACTTCCGCATCCAGGACGCCCTTAAAGGAACCTACCATGCCACTGACATGAATGCTGTGGGTTTCATCCAGGGCCTCCGCGTCAATGTTGAACACACGGCGAGGCATGTTGCCAACAAACTTAAGTGCCTCCCGTGCTTGGGTGCTGCTAGCCATGATGGTGACCAAGAAAGTGATGCTGGTGTTCACCAAGAAAATTATGGCAAGCAAGCATGCCTCTCTGGTGTACGCTTGTGTGGCAGGCAGAGGATCGGCTCCTCGCCACCGATGCCCGCCAACAAGGGTGTCAAGAATGTTGATGGCAAATGCATGCCCAAGGTCATCTCAACTGCTCGCAATGCTGCCCACACTTTCGGTAAACACTTTCCATGCTACTCTCCCATATCTGTCCATGATGATGATCCTCAACCTATCATTTCAAAGTGTGCAAGCCAGAGAGACTGTGATATAGAAACACCAGAATTGATGTTTGATAGGGTGCAAATGTCTAAAACAATGATGGACATGGTAGAGCAGCTGAAGGAAGTATGTGCTAAGGTCTCCATAATTCTTAATCTAGATTTGTTGGGCTCCAGCCGTATGCATACCAAAGATATTGCTAAAAACAGATCCAAGACCACATCCGAGATTATAGAACCTGAGTTATACGGGAGGGATGACCAAAAAAAGAAAATTGTAGATTGCATTATTAGTCGCGAGTACTGTCCCAATAAACTTAACGTGCTTCCAATTTTTGGACCTGGGGGTATTGGAAAAACAACTTTTACGCAACACATATGCCAAGAAGTAAATAGATATTTCCAGGCTTCAATTTGGATATGTGTCTCTTTCGATTTCAGTGCAGATTGGTTGGCGCAAGAGATGGTCAAAAAAATCGATAGTGTTGTTGGTGAAAAGGCTAACGCTAGTGCCGACGAACTTATCCAGCAAAGATTAAAAGCTAAGAGATTCTTACTTGTCTTGGATGATGTGTGGACATATCAGGAGGATGAGTGGAAAAAACTAATAGCACCTTTAAAGAAGGTAGAGTCTGAGGGTAATTTGATTATAGTCACAACCCGAATACCAAAGGTAGCAGAAATGGTTAAGACAACCAATGGTGAACTAAAACTGGAAAGACTAGATGATGCAGACACCATGCGTTTTTTCGAAACATGTATATTTGGTAACAAGCAACAACCATGGGAAGAACATCCTGAATTATCTGAGATTGGTCACAAAGTAGTGGACCATTTGAAAGGTTCCCCTCTTGCAACTAAAACTGTAGGTAGGTTACTAAGAAACCAACTTACTTTGGACCATTGGAAAAGAGTTCTAGAAAGCAAAGAGTGGGAACTACAAACGAGTGAGAGTGACATCATGCCAGCCCTCAAACTTAGCTATGATTTTCTCCCTTTCCATCTAAAACAATTGTTTGTATATTGTGCTTTGTTTCCAGAAGATTACGAATTTGATAGCAAGGAGTTAGTTCAACTGTGGATAGGACTAGGTATTTTGCACCCATATGATCAAAATAAAAGGACTGAAGATGTTGGACTAGACCATTTGAATGAGTTGGTCAATTACGGGTTTTTGAAGAAAGACAAAAAAAAAGATGGTCGTCATTATTATGTTATTCATGATCTATTGCATGAATTGGCCACCAAGGTTTCATCGTATGAATGCGTTAGTATATCTAGTTCTAATATCAGGTCCATACACATCTCCTCGTATATACGTCATTTATCCATAATTGTAGATGCTAAAGATGTTAATGATAGAATCAGTTTTGACGACTATAAAAAGGATTTGAGTGCATTAGGTAAACGACTGAAAGTTGAAAACCTACGTACTCTGATGTTGTTTGGGAAATACCATGGAAGCTTCGCCAAGACCTTTTGTGATCTGTTTAGAAAAGCTAAAGCCCTTCGCACTATTTTTCTATCTGGAGCATCATACTCTATGAAGGACATTCTGCATAACTTTTCAAAAACTATCCATCTTCGTTACCTAAGGATTGAGCCATCACATAACACAGGCAACATCGACTTTCCTAGTATGCTATTCAGATTTTATCATCTAGAGATAATAAATCTTCAAAGATGCAATGTCCCTGTTTCGATAAGACGTATTACCAACCTTGTAAAGCTGCGTAATATGCCTCTAGTTCTGTCTGACATACCTGAGGTGGGAAAACTTAAATTGCTTTCAGAATTAAGAAGATTTGAAGTTGGAAAACAAACTAATGGTTTCGAACTAAGTCAGCTAGCGCAATTAACAGAGCTTGGAGGGTCACTTAGCATTTATAATCTTGAAAAGGCGCAAGAAAAAGGGGCCCGGGGAAAGGAAATAAGGCCAATACACAGAAACCACTTGCGTGAACTAACATTAGAGTGGGATGTGCAACGATCTAACACGGATCCTACAAGAGAAGGAAATGTTCTTGAAAATCTTGTACCGCATAGTGACCTTCGAGATCTTTGCATTAGAGGGCACGGAGGCACTAGTTGCCCAACATGGCTAGGTGAGAACCTCTTGGTCAAAAATTTGGAATCGCTTCACTTGGCTGATGTATCTTGGAAAACTTTTCCACCATTAGGAGAGTTCTGGTTGGTTGATGAGCTCCGTGACGAGTGCAAGTGTTGCATCTCAAACCCAAACTTCCAAAAAAAATGTCTTGAAAAAAAAGGTTTTCCAAATTTGAAAAAGCTAGTGTTTGTTAAGATGCCAAAATTGACAAAGTGGGCTGGAAATCAAACTTGCGGGTTCTTCTTCCACCTGGAAGTGCTCATTATTGAAGACTGCCCTGAACTTAAGGAGTTGCCCTTTTCATGTTCTACTTGCTCTCAACCAGCGCAAGAAGGAGCGAACCTGAGGACCTTGTTCCCTAGACTACGTGAGTTCACGGTTGTAGGATGCCCAAACCTGAGGACAATGCCTCCTATCCCTTGGACCCGTACTCCATGCTCTATTAAGATAGAACAATCAGGGTCAAATTTTCAGCTACGCACTAACTCAGAAGGAATGTACATACCAGGATTATGCTTGTCCATTGTGGCAGCGGATGGTGCAGATAGCTTGCTTTGGAATAAGTTGTCTTTCTGTTATTTGAGTGGCCTAAAAGAGTTTTCTCTATTCAATTGCCCTCCTTTGCCCTTGCACATGATCCAAATGCTAACATCTCTGCAGCACCTCACTATAAGTGGTTGTTCGAGTATTGTTCTGTCGCCAATCAGAGGCGAGAGCCATGTCACATATGAGGTTCCAGTTGAAGAACTCTGCATTTCTGACAGCGGGGCTAGCGGGAAAGAACTGACTCAACTGCTCTCTCATTTACCCAAGCTCACCAGCCTGAGTATAGCTGATTGCGAAAAGATAACAGAACTTGGTGTGTCTAATCAGCAGAGTGGATCACAGCAGCAATACACAAACGAAGAGGAGGAAATAGTGGCGACGGCAGAAGGAGGACTGCTGCTCTTGCCTACCCAACTACAGGAGTTAAAAGTCTACAATTGCCGTGAGCTGAGAATAGTCCCCAATTCTGGTTCAGGGGGCGGCAACAACGAAGCAGCAGGAGGTCTCCAGCGTCTACGCTCCCTCCGCCAAGTGATCGCAGATGGTTGCCCCAAATTGCTTTCCTCCTATTCGGGCTCCTCGTCTTGTTTCCCTTTCCCGACCTCCCTTGAAACACTCGAACTAGTCAACGTTGAACAAGTCAATTTGGACCTCACAAACCTATCCGACCTGAAAGTACTCCATCTTGGCCACATGGAGGACCTCACAAAACTAAGCGTCAGCCGTTCCTCAAAACTACATACCTTGAGCATACGAGTTTTGGCAGAGTCCATCTGCAGCCTGCTCTCTACCTCCCTCACCACATTGTCCTTCTATCTTAGCAAAGAGGTGGAGCCCATCACAGGAGAGGCCCTAGTGCTTCTCACCTCCCTCCGAGAGCTCGGATTTTATTCCTGCCACAAATTGCAGTTCCTCCCTGCAGGTCTACATACACTTGACAGCATCAAGCAATTATCTATTCGTTCATGCCCATCCCTCTGGTCGCTGCCCAAGGACGGCCTCCCTAGTTCTTTGCAGAAATTAGATATCTCCGGATGTTCCATGAAATCATTGCCCAAGGACAGCCTCCCGAGTTCTCTGCAGCAATTAGAGATCTCCCGTTGTTCTAAGCTCGAATTGCTTCCCACTTTTTCGGACGGCCTCCCAACTTCTCTGTGGAAATTAAAGATTGAGGATTGTCCTGCCATCAAATCGGTGCCCAAGGACGCCCTCCCGAGTTCTCTGCAGGAATTAGGCATCACGAGTTGTCCTGAAATCAAATCGCTTCCCGAGGACGGGCTCCCCAAATCCTTGCGAGTACTAGATGTGGTCAGTTACGGCAACAGCGAGCAGCTTAAAAGGCAGTGCCGCAGGTTAATAGGGACGATTCCAATAATCTTCGCCTGACGAATCCTTCCAAGGTAAAAAACACGTCCTTATCCTCTTCACATTCTTATAGTTCCTACTCAACAGTTCCCTTTGCTTTTGCTATTAACCTCGTTAGCTTCGAAATCATTCAGTTTTTTTTGTTTGGTTCTTAAAAATTACTGACGTCTCATCTGAACTGAATAACCCACTTATTTTAATCTTCTGTGCAGGGCTCTCTTTTTTCTCCTTGATTGGTTCATCATCAGCCCTCGTAGAAGTCTCTCTGTATACAATGTGTAGTTCGTTCTCAGGCTCTCATCAGTTTTTGCTAGTGCAAGCACCAAGATTCAGTCTGTATCATCCATCATGTCCGTAATCATCCCACAACCCCAATAACACTTCCATGCCCTGCTTCGAAATTTATTTTACAATACCCCTTTATTCATATTTTTTTTGTTTGGTTCTTAGGAATTACTGTCGTTTCATCTGAACTGAATAACTCACTTGTTTTAATCTTCTGTGCAGGGCTCTCTTTTTGTTTTTTACATCATCAGCCTCGTAGAAGTCTCTCTGTATGCAAAGTGTAGTTCGTTCTCAGGCTCTCATCAGTTTTTGCCACTGCAAGCACCATGTGCGTAATCATCCCATAACTCCCGTAACAATTTCATGCCCTGCTTCGAAATTTATATTCTACAGTAGCCATTTCCCCTTCATGTGAACAACGAAGTTAACCGTTCACATCTTGTCCCTAACTAACGTTGCATCTTTCTCTCACCATCTACTCTTGCAGGATTTTATCTTCTTTTCGGTGCAGCAAGTTTCTTTCTTATGACCAATCCAAGGTAAACAAAACACTCCTTTCTTCTGTACTACTCACTCCTAGTACCTACACATGAATTCCCTTTGCCTTCTCTAACCTCATAAACATCAAAGCCATTTACCTTTTGTTTGGTTTACGTCAATTGTTGTTGTTTCATCTGAATATACCACATCTTTTTAATACTCTGTGCAGGGTCTGCTTTTCGCCTTTTCTGTTTGTAAATCTTCTACCCTGGTTGAATTCTCTCCGTATCCAAGCACACTCCTCTGACACTCAGTTGCCACTGCGAGCACGAATTGTATCTTGTATCCTGTGTATGATCTGGTTAGTGCATGCCTCATCAACCCATAATCCAATAGTTCGATTTACTGTCTTGCAATTTAATCTGCAGTATGTTAATCCACCCTTTCCTAGCCACTTCCCCTTCATGTAAGCACATACTAATACTTCCATGTTTGTTTCTGTCCCCAATTGACCTTGCTTCCTCCTGATCCATACAAGGGAAAATATTTTTTCGGTTTTGTTTGCCCAATTACTAAGAAACGAGTTTTCTGAATAACCCACTGGTTTTAATACTGCAGTGCTCTACCTTGGAGTTGCACATTTCTGAGCCCTTCGAGGACTCACAGTTCTCACATGGGGGTTTTGTGGCTTGCTCTCCCTGTACATAAAATCTGGTCAGTATGTACACTTGACATCCAGACCATCTTTTTGGTCAGTATGTACATACTGCATAATCTGAACAATGCTCTGTTTCCATTTATTGTGCATGACTCTATCCTGGAATTATCCATTTTTGTATACTTGTCGGATTTCTACAAGCATTATAGATCTGGTAAGTGCATATATGTAAAATGAAACTTTAAGACTGCTCTTGCATATAGTAAAGATACTTTGATGATTAGAAAATAAAAATAATCATTTCTTAGTTGTGCCAAGTGAACTTTTTAAGATTAAATGTCGCACCAATCTGAAAAAGTTGCTGTATGTATTAATCTTGTCTCTACTAAAGCAATTGAAACATTGTATATTTCTCGGAACCAAACTATGGGAAAGCCTGCGAATTCTCTTAATCCAAGGAAGTGTATCCTAGGACTTTATAAGATCGAAACACGTTGAGCTCTGTTTTTCTATCTTCATACTAAGGTCTGGCTTTCTTTTGAACCAGATTTAGGAGCTCTGCAAATCTCACTACAAGGAAATGGATCATAATTCACAACAACAACATGAAGTGAAGTCTCACAAATTCATCATGTGACATTTTGAAGTTGTGTTGAATCTCGTAAAAAAATTCTCAAGTTTTCTCAATATAGGAATGGTTATGGGAACCACCAGCTGCTGGTAAGTACCTACTTCTGCACACAGAAAAAATAGGTTCATTGCTGTCTATGGAATACTTGTGCAATTTTGATCAGCCAACACTAAATTTGGATGTCACTTGTCCAGATGATTTATAAGCTGCAAAGCTGTTTACGTGCAAACTAACTTCACTTACTAACAGGTGATGCATTGTAAGTGCCTTACTCTGGTTGATCTGTTCCATAATCAATTTAAATGTACAATCAGAAGCTAATGTTATGACATTACCCTGGTGTATTTAGATCAATCTCGGTAAAAGGTGCGGTCCTGCTGGATCAGGCAGACCTGGTTCTCCTGATAAGCAAGTTGTCATGGCATGATTAAGTTCAGTCCAGCTGAAGAAATGCTATCGTGGAGATCTCAATCTGTATCTTCCATTCCGTCCATAATCTGGTCAGTACATGCATAATCATACTGTACTTCAATAGTTTTACGCATCGTTCAGAAATTTCAATCTACAGTATGTTCATTGACACCTTGATGTTTCCATGCTTGTATCTATCCCAAATTAACCTTGCTTTTTTCTGATCTCACGCACGGAAAACTGTGTTTGAGGTTTATTTTGCCTCATTGCTGCTTAAACTGAACAGTTCTCTGTTTCCATTCACTGTGCAGGACTCTCTGTCTTGAGAGTAGTACATTTTTCTACCCTAGTAGGATTCAGTCCACCCATGCATGATGCATAGTTCTCACATGTCGGTCTTGTGTTATCCTCTTCAGGTACATAAATCTGGTAAATACATTTGATCTTTATGTTTAAACTCTTAGTCTGTTCCCAACCATCTGATCTTTCAGTAAGAAATCCAATTAGCCTCATGACATATCAGATATTCAGATATAGGCACTGAAACGAATTTAATATTCAGCTTTTTTTCTTTGGAAATTACTTTCCCTAAAGCATTAATTGAAGATTTCTTCTCCACAACACTTATCTTCTCACAACTTGATAAATCAGTTAATGGCATTTCAGTGTGTGTGTTTTTTTTGTTCCTGGAAGAAATTTGTGGTGTTCTCACAATTCTATCTTCTATGCAGGTGTTCTTATCTTCGCTCTGCTATGCTTCAAAATAGTTCATTTAAAGCTTCGTGGTCACTCATGAAGACATGGTGGTGTACTTGCTAGTTCAGAACTAAATGTGCTATCATAGATGGTTTTCAAGTTTACTAAGCTTCCACAACCTTTTCATAGAGTTAACATTTTCAGGTTTGCATTTCATCATGACAAGATGTTCTCCAAGCCAATCATCCTTTTATCTCATGTTGCTAGCCTCATCGGTACTTGGCATTGCATTTCCTACATTGGGATATAGCATACTCCGCCAGTACATCCCAACCCCTTGTGGAGTTTCTCACTAAGAAAAGAGTGAGATATGTGATTTAAGGAACCAAGGTTGATAGAACAGTTGAATCAACCATGAGAGAAAAAAATAAAAAAAATAAAAGGCCAAAAGGCAAAAATAGCAAAAAAAATGAAAAAGAGAGAGAGAAACTCCCGTTAAGCCACTTCAGTTTTCCAATGAGTCCACTATATCTGCCTATCATAGCATCTCCTCATTTGCTATTCCAAGTAGTGGATTCCTTTGCCATGCACATTTATATTTTGCTTTGTACATCTTTAAAGGAGGCATATTAGTCATCATGTTTAGTACTTGTTGAACTTCACCAACCATTTTATGTCTCACTTTTATTTTTCATATATAAGAGCTTTTGTCGGCACCTCTCAATCTTTTGTAGGGAAAAAAAAGAAAGAAAATAAAAAAGAAAGAAAAAGGAAAAGGAAAAGGAAAAAAGAATGAAAAAAGAGATAAAACAAAAGAAGTAAAGTAGAATAAGAGAGGTGCCATGTTTTCTCTCCACCAAACTCTTAGTCTTCATTTATGGCGAGATGAGTCTTATTACTTAGGCTTATCATATATCACTTTTCTTACCACCCATTATTCATCATGTAGAGTTTGGCACTCATAGCTAATTTTGTCCATCTTAGTGGGATGGCTTATTGCATATGCTTACTAGGACTTCATATCACTTCATATCCATTGTGCATACCTTGGCAAATCCCTACTTCCCATGCAACGTCGAAACCGAGGACATCACACATGCCTTGGGGTCACTCTGCATTACATGGGCCTATCTTTTCCTTGTTGAGTCACTCCCATCCTTTCACATCATTTTCTAATGATTGGAAACACGAGGCATCTTGGTTCATGGTGACTGCTTGCTTGACTATGTGATCCGTGCTTCCCAAGGCATGAATTGGTTTGTACTACTGAAAACTCACTCTTGGTTTTGCAATTTAGGTATGGACTTATCAATTAATTGCAATGTTGTTTCTGTTTGAGTAGGGAGCTCAATGTGGGTTGAATCCTTGGAATGATCTTGCAAGAAAGACTTTTTTTTATATCAATCTTGCAAGAAAGACTTTGTATCATGAAGCATCCCTGTTAGTACTAGAGCTACGGTTTTGAAGGGACACTCAGGAGTCAACTTTCTCAAGGTTAGTCAAATGCTTATTTAAGTTTATATTGGTTTATACTGCTCCATGTCTTTTTTCATTTGAGATGCTCTTTTAACCTAATTTTGGTGAAAAGTTAACGTTTCCCCTAATGATGTGCTGAAGCTAGTGTAGGCATATGGGCTGACTAAATTACTAACTAGGTGTTTGTGCAAATGCAGATCCACGATGCTGATCACTTGACCATTCCCCCCTGCCGCATGAGCTGTGAGGAGGGCAAGACATCAAGGCCAATGGTGCCGCTTGACGACGAAATCTACTCTCCAAGACTCTCCTTGGCCTCCCCCCGTACCTATCGTCTGCAAGTGTTGGCGTTGCATCATATCTAACATCTACTTTTTTTGCCGC